CATTGACCCATAAACCAGGAGGTTATGGTTCAATTCTTAATCAGGACACATGGCTAGGTAGAGGGCTCTATCAACAGTAGGGGATTTGCAGGAAGCAATTGATCAATATTCACTCTCATCATTGATATGTCTCTTTCCCTTCCTCTCTCTGAAATCAATAAAAACATTAAAAAAAATACATTCGGGGACTTTGGATCTTGTTTTATTCCCCTCCAATAAATCATTCCTAATTTCTTTATTTCAATGCCTATTTAAAAAAAAAATAGAAGGATCAGGATATTATTTACAAGCTACCTGTTTGTGAATGACATTATGCTAAGGCCTCTTGCAGAAATCCAATGATAATGGTAGCAGCTAATATTTATCAAGCTCTTCTTCTGTGTCAGACATCATGCTAAGCACTTTTATACACATATTTCATTTAACCTTTGCAACAACTTTCTGAGGTAAGTTCCATTATTTCATTTTTACTAGTGAATAAACTGAAGCACAGGTATGTTATCTAAGTGGCTCAAGGTCCCACAAGGCTAACACTCAAGCAACTTTGCTCCAGAACTCATGCTCCTAATCACTGCTATGCTGCCTCTCAATAAAAAATTGTGGGCCAATTATCTACCCATAGTGGTGAAGATTAAAAAGAAATAAATAAAAGGCTGTATTCACCCTGTGCACTCAGTGGCAAAGTAAAGAGAAGTAAACTCTGGAGTCCCAGGCAGAACTATTTTTTTTTTAAATCCTCACCTGAGAATATTTTTCCCCCATTGGTTTTCAGAGCAAGTGGAGAGAGGGAAGGGGAAGAGAGAAGAGAGAAACATTAATGAGAGAGACACATGGATTGGTTGCCTCTCACACGTGCATCAGGTACTTGCCCTTGATCAAAATCAAACCCAAGATCCTTCCATGTGCAGATCGACACTAAATATTGAGCCATGGTGGCCAAGGCCAGGCAGAGCTTTGGTTCTCAGCTCTGCACTCACCCAGGGTCAGCAGTATGATCCTGGTAGTCTCTCAAACACATGTGATGATAGGCCTGGCAGGTTACTGTGAACTCTGAATGAAGTCAAACATGCTAACACCCCTAGCATAGTGCCTGAACTATAGTACATGTCAGTAGCCCTTGCACCTTCCCACACTGTAACCCATGTGATCTGGCCCTTTCATATATCTAGCAAGTTACTCTACAGATAATCCTGTAGGTGAGGGTCACCTCCTTTTATAGACTAAAACACATGCTCACAGCAGTGGAGTAACAGACTAGGGCTGTAGAGCTAGTGAGGGAAGCCCAGATCTCACTTTCAGCCAAATGTTCTCTCCCCGACAATGCATCACCTCTTGCTTTGCCTCTGTAGCTCTTTGATGTTAGTCTCTAGATAAAAGGCTAGCATAGTAGGGAAGTAAGAAGTCCAGCATGATGGCAGAGGAACCTGTTAACTTTGCTGGGTCTACTGCCAGCAGTAACAGCAGCCCAGACTGCTTAAATGCCTACACTGCAGCAGAACATCCATAGAACATACCTTTGTACACTTTGGAAGAGCAGCCCAGTTGAAAGCAACTTTAGAAAATCAGTAAGGGCTAAACCAAACAGTTGTTGTACCACAAGTCAAAACCAGAAGTGCTCACATCAAAAAATAATTTAGAATGCCATACACTCTCTGTCTGAAACATTGTGTGTTAACGGTTTATCTTTGTGGGCTTTCCTCTGGGCTGATAGCCAAAGGAAACCTTGGATAAAGCCTACCAAGGAACTGCAATTACTTATGGTTTCTCTAGTACCAACTTCTGTGGGAACTCAATGTCATCAGGTTTTGAGCAGCCAGTTTTTTATTGCTGTTCAAGCAGAGTTAACCATTCATTCATAATTCACTCATCCCTCTGATTTTTTATTCCAGGCTAGAGGCCCAGTGCATGAAAATTCATGCCCTAGGCAGGGGGTGGTCCCTCAGCCCAGCCTGCCCCCTCTCACAGTCCAGGAGCCCTCAGGGGTGGGAGGCAACCTGGCTATCAGGGGAAAGTGACACCTCCATCACACCTCTGCTACTGCCATTGCTGGCAGCACAAGTTTTGGCTGGTCCTGGTTACCTGAGCCTCAGGTGGCCCTGTGTGGCTGGGCAGCTGCCATCTGAGGCTTGCCTGTGCCTCAGGCCAGCCCTGGACGGTTGCAGGGCTAAGGAGACTGGGGGACTGCCGCACTTGCCGCCCCAGAGATGAGGGGACTGGGCACCACCATCTTGTGGCTGTGGGAGCCACCATCTTTGAGGGTGTGACAGTCAATTAGCATATTCCCTCCTTATTGGCTGTGGGCACCGCCATCTTTGCAGTGGTATGAGGGTCAATTAGCATATTCCCTCTTTATTAGATAGAATATATATCAAGCTCCCATATCCTGTGTTCAAGCTCCCATATTCTGTTCCTAGCACTGAGCTAGGAACAGAATAGGCTCTTCTCTGTCTATGAGAGTCACTGAGAGCTAATCCAAACTGGGCTTTGGATAGACAGTTATATTCTGTAAAGTGTTATGACCCCACTTTAAGATAGCTCACTTAACCAGCCTTTCTATTGTAGAAATAAGGAAAGCTAGGTTCAGACAACCTAAAATGTCCAAAGTTGTAGAAACTGTAAGTGATGAAAAGGGGTGTACACCCTGGTCCTCTGAGATCAAATTTTCGGCTTTAACTCTCCTTCCTGTAGGGTGTTGCAGCTACAACACCAGCAGAGAGAGAGAAATCTGAGAGGTGTAGTTTCTTTCTTTCTTTCTTTCTTTCTTTTTTTTTTTTTTTTTTCAAATCCTCACCCAAGGACATGTTTTTATTTATTTTTGGAGAGAGAAACAATTGGTTAGCTACCAAATGTGCCCCCATGTGGAATTGAACCTGCAACCTTTTGGTGTACAACAAGCATGTCAAACTCATGGCCAGTGCGGGCTGCATGCCAATAAGCATCTCTTCCCAGCTCTCTCTGGAATCATTCTGTGCCCCTGCTCCCTACTCTCAGTAGCTTCCCACTTAGCAATTAATGTCAAAGTCAATTAGTTCAGCTCTCCTGAATCCATCCCTCTCTCACTTTCAACCACATACATTGTCCTGCCCAATCAAAGGCTGTGGCTCAGCCCCTTTCCACCACATGGGATGTTCAACAACTCTAGGAGGCTTCTACTGACCTCTCAGGGCTACCAAACTGTCTTCTCTGTCAGAAAGAACACCCCAGCTAAAAGTAAATTTTCCTTTCCCTAGAATTTTATACATGCACTGGTTGTACAAAGAGCACTTGCTTCAGGCCACCTTGTATCATAGTTACCACCTTCAAGCCTTTTCTCTCCTGGATGATTCAAGTCCCTTGGACATTAGGGTTTCTTTATAGTTTCATTTCCCAGCAATAGCACCTGACAAATGGCTATCAAAATATGAACTTGGAATTTTCCATGGTAGAATAGTTCTATACCAAATGCTAAGTACATATCTCCTGCTTTGCCCAACAGTGGAGTCACAAGGATATATTTTTCTCTGCTAATCATGGTCCATCCACTTTTGGTAAATTCTCTACAAAAATTAGATAAGGAGAAATATCTTTAGAGTTGTTTCACATCCTTTGACTCAGACACTGAGCAGGGAGGGAGATGAGGAAACCAGAGAGAAAGTGGAGGAAAGAGGGGAAACACTTTGAAGAAGGAAGCTGTGAAGGCGGGCACTGTGTTTCCTCCTTAATTATATATATATATATAAATATATATATATATTTACTTCAGAGAGGAAGAGAAAGACAGAAACATCAATTATGAGAATCACTCATCTGCTGCCTCCTGAATGCCCCACACTGGGGACCCAGCCCCAAACCTTGGCATGTGCCCTGACAAGATGGAATGGTGATCTCCTGGTACTTAGGTCCCTGCTCCATCCCTAAGCAACACCAGCCAGGCTGCTGTTTCTCTCTGGCACCCCTTAAGTTTGTCCTCCACAACAGGGCCACTACCCCAAGGGTAGGTGTGTCAACTCCTGTGGGCACACGTGGATACTATTCGACAATTGTAAAACAGATCCCAGGCCTGAGTGGTTGTTGTAGTGGAGATGCATGGCGCTGGAGGGGCGGTGTCTTAATCAGCTGCATTTTTCAGGGCTTAGCCCTGCTGGAGAGGTGACACAAAGTTGCCTGAGTCAGTTGACCGCCCTCAGGTGCTCCCTGCACAGCTGGTCCTTGAAGGTTACAGACCCCGTCTCACCGGAGGCTCTGACCCTTGGGCCCCGGAGGCCGCCCAGGCTAGTGCAGAGCGTTGCCCGCCCGCAGTGTTCCCTCTTCCCCCCAGGGAAGCGGGCTAATATCCGCTGGGGCCTCCACCTCTGATCTGGCTGCTGCGGATTTCTCGGGCTCCTCTGGAGAGGTAGCATTAGGGTCAAATTATTTTCCAGGGCTCTACAGGCCGGGGCCGCTGGGCCTAGCAGGGCGTCTGCAGGGTGCACGGCGGGAGGAGGGGGAGCTGGCCCAATCCCTCCCCCTGCTCGTTCTAACCAGCTCCATTCTCTCTCTCGGGTGGGCCGAACTCCTCGATCTCTTTCCCCGAACCTTGGAGCCCAGCAGAGGTGTTCTTTCTTTCTCCTCTCTCTCTCTCTCTCTCTCTCTCTCTCTCTCTCTCTCTCTCTCTCTCTCTCCCCGCCCCGCCCCCCACCCGCCCCGTCTTCCCCCCCCCTCCACCCCCCGCCCTCCGCCTTCCGCCCTCCGCCTCCCGCCTCCCGCCCAGGATGCCAGTCAGATGGTGCAACATACACCACGCGATCTCTTTTCCCTGCAAACTCTTCTCCCGGGTCCAAACCTCAACTCCCAACGCTTCGAGTGTCCTCCTGGATGCGCCCGCTCCTTGTGCCCAAGCCGCGAACCCCCTTGAAGATCCCAACACAGACTTCCTGCCGCCCCGCTCCAGCTTCGAGCCAGGCAGCCTTCGTCGTCCCTCCGCGCTTCTGCCCGCAGCATCTTGGCGGCTCCCGCTCCTCCGGGGCGCGACAGTGTCTCACCTGCTGGGAGCAAATGGGTGCCGGGTGGTCCAAGAGCCGCAGGGAAGCGCGACAGGGAGCCAGCTCGTACAGGACCAGTAGCAACAGCCCTAGCCCCAGAGGGGGCTCCAGAAGGACAAGAGGTCGGCGGTACAGAGCACCCATGGCCCCCAGCACTGTAGAGGAGCGCTCGATCCAGAGTTGGGGGCACAGGGAAGGAATGCCCAGGCCTTCCCCAGACTCAGAAGTCCCAGTTGGGAGACTTCGCTTCCGGTCTCCAACACAGTCAAGGGGCGGGCCGCGCCGAGGGGAGGGCTTCCGACTGGGTGTGTCCCTAGGCTGGTCCCTCCCCAGCCCGCTCGGGAAAGGTGCGTGCTCTCCAAGCCCTTCCAGCACCTTCCCAACGCGCCGGGACATCAGACTGCTGGCCCTGCACCCGGCCGGCTCCCCACAGCAGACCCCGCCCTCGGCCGGGCCATCAGCTCACTTTCCACCCTCAGGCTGCTCCACATTTCATGCCGCTCTTATCTTCACGCTGGAAAGTTCCGTTTCCATTCTTTACATCTTTGTTGCCACTAATTAGACTTCTCTCTCTCTCTCTCTCTCTCTCTCTCTCTCTCTCTCTCTCTCTCTCTCTCTCTTTTTTTTTTCTCGGCCCTTCGACGCCAGGCCCCTACTTGAGATTCAAAGAAAGGTTTTCTTTTTAGTCCTGGTCCCTCTTTACGCCCAGCATCTTCCCCCGTCCCCTCTCTCAGCCCCCTCCCCCTCCCATTCTCTGGCTTTCCTTTTTTCTTTCTCTAGGAGGCTGGGACAGCTTAAACACTAGTGAATTCCTGTTCCAGAGAGGAAGTCGGAGCTGTGTGATGTGAACTTGGGGAGATGAGATCCCTGGCCGCGTACTATTAGTTTCCAATAGCGCCCAGAGTGCAGTGTTTCCCAAGATTAGTCTCCTGTTGAACATGTGCCAACTGCATCCTCTCCTCTCCCATCTGCAGTTGGGTGTGATCCCCTGTCCTGGGTTCCCCCCATCCCTCCTGTTGGATACTGGCTTCCAGTCTTGCCCACTCTTTTCATCCAGACATATTTGTGTTTTGAAAACTGCATTTTTATCCCTGTTCTCTCTCCATCCTAAACCCACAACCAGCTGCATTTCCTTGCCTTTGATACCCATGGAATCTAGATGCACTTTGCATCTTCCTGTATTTTCCATCCACCTGAATTGGAGCTCCCAGAAATGGGGCTGTGGATTTTCTGCCCTTTCTGCTGCTGGCAATCTCCTGGTGACCATCTCTGTGGGTCCCATTCTCCCCCCAGTCCCTCCACCCCACACACCATTCCCCACTCAAAAGGACCCAGCTGCACTAGTCCTGAAGCTCTGAGGTCTTCAAACATCTTTATTTGTTTATTTCTAAAACAATTTTGGGAGAGACAAAATGGCAAAGAATAGATAGGCGGATTCTGAGCCTTGTCCCAAAGCAGAGAGAGAGGGCGGCTGAGGGTCATGCTGGGAGTGTTTATTGACAAGCCAAGAGACAGCGGAACACCAGGAAAAACTGGGGGGCCGCTGACTAGGGTGCCTCTGACAGGGAAGCACCCACAGCGAAGCTGGGTCCCTTCCTGGAGCTACTGTTATGCCCAAACTTCGTGATCCCCAAGGACCACTAGGGAGCCGAGTCCAATGCAATAAACAAAAGAGCCTCTTCCATGCTAGCATGGGCTTTGTTCCACTCACGCCGACAGCATGGTGGAAGAGAGAGCAAATTTTGCCAAGCCCTGGAGTTTTACTCCTGTGGTGATGTCACTGTTTTGGCTAACCCTGGTTGGACAAGCGTTCAATTACACAAAATGGAGGATAACTCCGCCCTGCCCCACAGTGGAGTCGGGAGTTTATCCTCACCCTGCCCTGCCCTCTCATACCTACAGGCTTGGATGGGAAAATCTCGCCATCTTAAAAGTGAGAGTGGATCATTTTAGAGGCCTGAGTATCCATAGCCACAGAGACCACCAAATAGCTGTGAGCCCCAGAGCACTGATCCCAGATGGCTCAAACACTTGGACTCAAAGGAGTGCCCCACTGTGCGGGGGAAAGGTCAGATTTTGCAGGGAGAGGGTAAGTGCTCCCAGCAAAGACAAAAGCCTGCAGGCGCAGGGCACGGAAACTGGAGGACATGGGCGGTGTTTACAAGTGGAAGCTCCTGGCTGTTGGGCCGGTGTCACCTGTGAATGTGGACTGGGCTCCTAATAGGGGAGATATCTAAAGAGCAGTGGACTTGCTCCCCCCCCCCCCCCCATAGATCAGTGCCCCGGAGGGGAGGGGGGAAACAGCTAGTGAGGCTTTAGAGCCCTGGAAGTCAACCTAGAAACACTGCCACACAGAGGCTAAATCACAAATTGACCCTAGTGTAATAAAATCAAAGCAAGACCTGCTTAAAAATAAGGACCGGATTACAACACTGAGGAGCAGTGAAAAGCAGGGAACAGCAATACTGTCCGGACTGGGAAACAGTCGTGCCAAACAAAACAATAGAGGAAGTGAATGACCTTCATTACTGCAAATATTATTTAATTTTTTTAAATTTAATTTTTTAAATTTTTGTTTTTTATTTTTTCATTATTTGCAACATTTACTCAAGAAACTATTTTTTTTCTTTTTTCCTCACTTGATTTTATCTTTTTAATTATTATATTGTATGTGTAATCAACATTATTATTTTTTAAATATATATTTTATTGATTTTGTACAGAGAGGAAGGGAGAGAGATAGAGAGTTAGAAACATCTATGAGAGAGAGTCATCGATCAGCTGCCTCTTGCACACCCCCTATTGGAGATATGCTCGCAACCAAGGTACATGCCCTTGACTGGAATCAAACCTGGGACCCTTCAGTCCCCAAGCCAATGAGCCAAACCAGTCTCAGCTGTAATCAACATTATTACTACTACTATTTTACCTTTTTAATATTAGTTTCTTTTGTTTATTTTTATTATTATTATTATTATTGTTTTTTTAACTTTGGGATCAGGATTCTATAATCTATATTTATCTTTCCTTCTCCAATGCTTTATTCTATCTCAACCCTACCTTTATGCCATCACTCTCTTCCTAACCCTTTCCCTTTGGTGCCCTGTTTATCTTAACCCTTTCCTGCTCTAGATTTTCCCTATTCTTTCTGTTTACCCCTCCTAAAATTTCACCCTACTTGTGTATATCTAATTTCCAACCACCTGCTCCAAGCCCACTCACACCTCCCTTGTCGCTGTCCTAAACAAACAAACAAAAAACAAAAACAAAAAAAACAGTCTTTCTCTCTATCCCTTTGTAGTTGTATTTGAATGTTAACTATATTGAAGTTTTATGCTTTTTTGTATGATTGTTTTGCCTATTCTTTTTGTTTGATCGTATGTTTTTGTTAGCTGGGTTCTAGTCTCCTTTATTGGAGGTTATTAATATCGCAAACACATTTCTATTCAGTGCCTTGTGTGTTGTACCTGGATGTGTTGTATTTTGTGCCTTTAAATCAAAGCAGGAGAGAGAGAACATAACCAGACATCCTGAAAAGAGAGATCATGGGGAGACAAAGAAACAGCCCGCATATGAAAGAAAAGCAGGCATCACCAGAAAAGAAAGTAAATGAGTTAGAGACAAGCAACCTACCAGAGCAAGAATTCAGAGTAATGTTTATAAGATGGCTAAAAAGAATGGAAGGCAAATTTGACAATATGAGTAAGAGGAAACGAAGAACCAAGCAGAAATGAAAAATGACATTGCTGTTGTAAAGAACTCAATAGAAAGCATCTAGAGTAGATTAGAAGAAGCAGAGGACTGCATCAGTGAGCTAGAAGACAAGATGGAAAAAAAAATATCCAATTAGAGTAGCTTCTGGGGAAAAAAAAAATTAAAAAGCAGGAGGAGAGCCTAAGGGAACTTTGGGACAATACAAAACCAAACAATATTAGAATAATAGGGATTACAGAAGGAAAGGAAACTGAGGAAGACATGGAAAACGTATTTCAAGAAAACTTTCCTGAGATAGAGAAGAAAAACACACACAAATCCAAGATGCTTGCGGAGTCCCAAGCGAAATGAACTCCAGAAGAATGACGCCAAGGCACATTATAATTAAAGTGGCAAACAACAACGACAAAGTAAGAATCTTAAAAGCAGCCAGAGAGAGACAGAAAGTTACATATAAAGGAACCCCCATCAGACTAACAACTGATTTCTCAACAGAAACTCATCAGGCCATAAGGGGATGGGATGAAATATACAAAGTCATGCAAAGGAAGGGTCTGAATCCAAGAATACTGTACCCAGCAAGGCTATCTATCAAAATTGAAGGTGAAATCAGGAGCTTCACAGACAAAAACAGACTAAGGGAATTTATCAACACCAAACCAGCAATGCAAGAAATGCTAAAGGGTCTACTGTAAAAATAAAGAAATAGAAAGCAAAGAAGGAACACAGGGGTATAGAATTAAAATGACATCAAATGAGTACCTATCAATAACTTTAAATGTAAATGGATTATATGCTCCAATCACAAGACATAGGGAAACAGATTAGACAAGAAAACAAGACCCGTATATCTGCTGTCTACAAAAAACCCACTTCAGAATTAAAGATGCACACAGACTGAGGGTGAAGGGATGAAAAAAGGTTTTCCAGGCAAATGGAAATGAAAAAAAAAAAAATAGCGGGGGTAGCAATACTTATATCTGACAAATTAGATCTCAGAGTGAAAAACTTAACAAGAGATAATGAAGGCCACTTCATAATACTAAAGGGAACAATCCAACAAGAAGAAATAACCCTAGTAAATATATATGCACACAATACGGGAGCACCCAAAAACTTAAAAACAAACAAACAAACTGCTGGAGGACATTAAGGGAGAGATTAATAGCAATACAATCATACTAGAAGATTTTAATAGTTCACTTTCATTTTTGGAAAAATCATCTAAACAAAAAATCAGCAAAGAAATATCAATCCTAAATGACTTAATAGACCAGATGGAATTAATTAACATCTTCAGAATATTCCATCCCAAAGCCACAGAATATACATTCTTCTAAAGTGCACATGGATCATTTTCAAAGATAGACCATATGTTGGGACATAATCAAAACCTCTTCAAATTCAAGAAGATAGAAATCATATCAAGCATTGTCTCAGATCATAGTGGCATAAAACTGGAAATGAACTACAATAAAAATAATCCAAAGAAATCAAATACATGGAGACTAAACAGCATGATATTGAACAAGGACTGGGTTACCAGAGAAACCAAGGAAGAAATTAAAAACA